CCAATTTAGTACTGTCATTTAAAATCTCACCAACCCATTTGATAATGGGTTTTTGCCCTCAACCCACAACCCAAAACCCATCAAGCACTCTTCTTCAAAGACTCAACAGTCATAACATCCCCTAAACCAAAACCGGAGCTATTCCAACGGCTAAATTTCCAGGTAATTTCACACGTTGGGTCAAGGCTTAACCCAATTGCAATTAGAAAATCTAATGGAAAATTTAATAGAGGGGCAATTTGGGCAATAAAATTGATGATTTGAGGGACTTTTCTTGGCAAATACTGAGATTTTGAGGAACCTTTAGTCAATAGAAGATGATTTAAGAGACTAATATGTAATTACCCTGCTTTTATTTCATTTGGCTCTCTTCTTTTATTAAAGAAGATACATTGAGGTTTTGATTATCTCAACCATATTTTCCTCAAAATGTAAAAGGGAAAGAAAAGCATGTCACTTGCTGGACAACTCTAAATGGAGCAAAATGGATAAAACAATTCATGTAGCTAACATCTAATTTGGATGAAGGTTTGCTGATATCTTTTTATGGTTTTCATTTCAGTGCAAGCATTGCAACTTCTAATTGCATATTCACCTTCTTATGTTGAACAATGTCATTCATGTTTTTTCCTTTCAGCTCTTGTTTCCTGTATTATCCAGATGAGTAAATAGGGGCCAGTCTGTCCCTTTTTGGTATTAGCATACAAATATTTAATCCATCAGCTATAATCTGAATATGTTGATGATCTCGACTTTAGTGGTCTTGGTATGTGGCACATTAGTGACACACCAGCTAAGAACGTGGAGGGAACCATCAGCCCATATATTACTAAATAATAATCTTGAATGCGGAAGTTGTACCTTCTCATCTGTAATATTTCTCTTCTTTCTTGATGATACAGGCTTTCATGCTGAAGAGATCAGCAGACGAGTCTCTTGGACAAGCAGCCTCTGTTATCACCGATGTTCTTGAAAATGCTGAAAGCGATGGTGTGATTACCGCTACACAGAAGAGGGCTCTCCTTCAGGAAATGGCTCTGAGACTTTCCTGAAATATTCCAGCATTATGCTCTACAGAGGTACATACTACTGTAAAGCATCTTTTTGGGACATACACTGTATAAAGCATATTTTTTTCTTACTGTAAAGTTATAATTGTCACAAATACTGCTTCTTTTACCATTTACTTGTATAAAGTTTGGTTGGGAGGAGGGACTGTTCTTTCTCCCCTTTGTTAGGAATTGATAACTCGCAATCCAACAAGTTTTCTGCTAAGATGATTCTTGAGATGCTGCTGATTCAATGATTTAATTTCTTTTGTACGTGGTTCTCAACATTCTTCGCTAGGAATAGAAGAACATGTTGAATTTGAGAAACTAACATTTTGCCTTTCTCTTGTGCTTTCATGGATTATGTTTACTTATGTAATGAAGAACTAAGAATTGTTTAGCAAATGAAACTAACATTTTCAAGTGTTTGTCTTTTTTTTTGTTATTTATATTGTACACTTATGCTTAACTTAGTATTTGTAAGTACTTTTTTAGTACTATGATTGGTATGTATGATTTATTGTTTCATCCCTGTGTCAAATTCCAAGATTTACGTACCAACTTTTGTGGTTGTAATTTCAACTTAAATAGCCACCCATTACTAAGACTATTTAGTGAAAAGATTTTGAGAAAATACAACTTACATGATGTAAATTTTGTCAAAAAGTTATTTAAAAAATTCAGAAAATTTGTAAAAGGATAAATATTTTGAAATACTGGAATCATATCTTAGAGTTGTAACAAAGTTTTTTTTTTGTTGCTTTGATGCAGTATTTGAAACTAAAGGGTCTCATAATTGCACTCTTGTTATGGTAAAAATAGTCTGATATTGTATGTTGTGATTTAGATGTCATAATTCGAGCGTGGGTAGCATGCATAATGCCTCATGTGAATCCTCACTCCATACTTTCTTCTGTATTTATATAAGACAGCTTGTATACACTGATATATGTATATGATTTATAGCACCAAGTTATGTACTCTGGGACGTCTAAATGCTTTCTAATATGTCTCTGTCATATGTATTTTGAATTAGATGTTGAAATATATACTATTGTAAAACCAGTCAACAAAATGTTTACCGAGATTAGGCTGATGGAAGTTTGCTGATATTGCGTGAATGATGGGCTAAACTTGTGGGACAAATTCTAGAGGAAAAGATACTTGATCATATATTTGGTTGAATTTTGAGCCCATGTGGGCTGTAATGGCTAGTGAAAATTGTACAACGTGGCGGCGCAGGTGCGGGCAGCAGGCGGCGCGTGGGGGCGGTGGAGGGGCGTGCAGTGCGGGCGGCGGCGGCGATGGCGGTGGTCGGAGAGAGAAGGAGGAAGAGAGAATGAGTTCTCTGGGAATGAATGGGGGAGAGAGATGTGGAGGAGAGAGAGAAGGGAGAGGGAATGAAATGAGAGTTATTTTTTACAAATTAGTTCACACACTCATCTCCTTAACCTATTCCAATCCAAAAGCTCATATCATGTCACATCACTGCCAAGTAAAATGAGTATGCTTGGTACCAAGCATACCCATTTTCCTCATGTAAGAAAAATGAGTATGCTTGGTACCAAGCACAAAAAGTTGTGCTTGATAGTGAGGTGACATAATCTCATCCACCCATTCAAATGGTTGTATATCCCCATGCACTCCTCAACCCATGTGAATGTGGTCTCCTATTTGAATGAGTGGAGGTGATTGTGCCACCTCACCACCAAGCACAAAATTTGTGTTTGGTACCAAGCATACCCATATTTCTCTCTCTATATACACACACGATAATTATACTACATAAACAACTTTTAGGTTGGCGTGCACGATAACTAAACTTAGAGACAATCACATGAGCATTGTTGTTGTTAGGGTAAGATTTCTTTATCTGCTACATAATATTTGTCTAATACTTTTTATAAGGTCAACACTAGGGTACTTCGCCACTATTGATTACTTTATTTCCTTCAGCTGACTTCACAAGTTTTAAGTTAATTTTTGCTAAGGATAATGTAACTTTCTACTTAAGATGATTCCATTTATAGCTTGTTGTTCTAGGGTTTTTATTTCGACATTATAAAAAAGGTTCTTAATCAATAAACAACAAAATATAAAACATTTTTTGTAAAAAGTGACTCACCTTCATAATTGCAACTGTAATGAAGCGAAAAACTGACTACCTTTTATAAATTTCAATTATGATTATAGATTTTATTTTTCCAAAACTACCAAACACCACATAATGAAATTCTCATGAAGTTAATGCCGGATATAATTTCGGGTGCAGACAATAGTCGTTGCAAAAATCTCTCTCTCTCTCTCTCTCTCTCTCTCTCTCTCTCATATTTCTCCTTTATTTATCGTCGCAACTCTCCTCTTCGTTTGTATTAGCTTCTTTGTTTTTAAAACTCTGAGAACACTCTCATATTTGGAAAGAAAAAAGGACATATCCTCACGCTATAATTAAAAAAAACACACCAAAATGCACATATGTTCAGGTTCCACGTTATTATTTGATATATATACATGTTACTTATGCACATATATTCAATTCCTCTACAATACTTATTCAGGTTCCATGTTATGCACGCATCAAATGCATCGGGATCCATCATTTTCTTATGATGCTACTTTTTTTTAAAGCAAACTGTAACTAGTTTAATTATTCCTATTTGATTAAAGGGGGTTTTCCTTGGAGTGCCATCTTTAAAGTATGGTCATCTTATAGAAACATTTTCAATTTACACGTTAACCACCCTTAAAGTGAATTTTTATTCTAATCAACAATCTCAGTACAGTCTAAATTTTCATCAAAAATCCAAAAATATCCTTAAAAACTCACATTTAATAAACGTGACCCGTGTTGTTAATGTTTAGATACACGTCGCATATTTTAACATGAGTTTTCTAAGGTTAAGATTTGGCTATAAGGCGGTTGATTGAATCGAGTTGTGCTAATATTAATCAAGTGGTGTTATTTAATCAAGAGTTTTATCCCCACTGCTAATATTAATGCTACCAAATTTCATTTTAAATTTAGATTTTACAATTAAAAATCCGTGTCGTTGCAGTTCTCTCCCCCTCATTCATCGTTCCCCAGCCTAGTGTTACCAAATTAGCCCCCTGTTTTTCACGTGGCTGGGCCCAAAACCGTCTACGCGATAGCAATGGTCCATACACGTAGCTCCCCACTGCACCAACAGGGCCCGCTCTTTTCATTAACCTCCATAAAAAATGGATATTTTACATGTCTCATTTAAGTTTTTACATTTCAAGTGTAAAAAGATTACAAGAGGTATAAGGCATATTCTCCTATCTGATTAATAATTTCGAGTTTTTTTAACTTCTGAAGTAACCTTCACGTTTCAATCAAAAACCCCACCTCCCCTTCTCTGAGCCCAAGTTAACCAGCCACTCATTTCGCCGGAATTTTGTTTTGCTTTATTTTTTATTTTTTATTTGTTATTTGGAGGGTGGGGTTATGGGGGTTCATTGGGTCGCTTTTGCTTCTAATTTACTTAAAGACTCCCTCTTTTGTCATTCACATCAAAATTAGGTGCTCCCTTTTCTGGGTTGTTAAGCTTTTCCATTGCTTTCTATAGACATAAAAGAATTTACTACATGTTTTTTTTTTTTTTTGAGAAGTGGGTTTTTCTGGATTGAGTTTTTCCTGCGCTTTTAAGTCGTTTGTAAAAATGGATTTTGGATTTATGTGCTTGTGTTTGGTCCAATCTTTTTGGGCCTTTCCTCGAGTTGTGGAACATTGACAAATTGTGTACAATTCATTAGTTTTATTGGGAACATATAGTTAATCTGTAATCCGTGAAAAGAACTTGGATTTTGGAAGTCAGTCACAATAATTTGCAAGAAACTTGAAGTCTTTATTGTCCATCGGGCGGAGCTACAGGGATCCAAAAATATGGGACCCTACATGAGACAGGTGAGGTGTCGGTTCCATGTCCCATGATGCCCTGTTCATGAACAGTGCATCATGGGACAGAGAGCCGACACCACACATGTCCCATGTAAGGTCCCATGTTTTCTGGTCCCTAAGACATTTTTCTTATCCATCAATTAAAATTTGTGATTTGCAACAGATGAAAAATTCAGTTATTGTAATAAAATAAGTTTTGTAATAGAGTTGTTAGCTCATAATCATAGTTATCTGTTTACTTTTACGTACTTTGTTTCCATATAGATCATGAAAATTGTGAATTTACTTTCACTGAGACTTATCTTTGTAAATACTTGTTTGCACATGAAAAGTTGCGCTCAAAATTGCTATGAAAACAGTTTGATTTTGGGCTCAAAAAAAATTTGTTCTTATGTGCTGGCTCGTATTTTGCCGCGTGAAGCTAGAATGCAATTCCCTCGTTAAAAAGAAAAAAAAGATTGAATCTTTTTTTCTTAAGTTTTTGGTAAAGATTGGTAAATAATAATAGTAATTATAATAAAATTTGGTGTAGCTTGTTGTAAAAAAAAGAAAAAAAAACGTGTGGTGTGGCCCAGCTCAGCTGCTGGTAGATCTCAGACTGGGCTTTGCGTATTTAAAGAGACCCAACCCCGGCTCTCTTCTCTACAACTCTCTCTCTCTCTCTCTCTCTCTAAAATTCCTCATATAACCAATCTCTAATTCAATCGCTACTTCGGGAGGTAATTTCATTTTTATTTTTGATCTTTAATTGGTTTGTCTTATTGCTTATGGCGCCCACAAATCCTAGGACCACCCTAAGCATGTTTTGTTCTCGTCCGGCGTCGTCTTTTGATCACGCGATCTCTGTCCTGGGGACAAATTTGTCTGCTCGTCTTCTGTTGTTAGATCTGGTTATTTTCTCGTCTTAATTAGATCTGAATCATCGCATGATTTTTCTTAGATCTGTTAGGATTAATGTAAGTTTTTTTTTTTTTTTTGCTTAGATCTGTTTGAAGCGTCATAGATTTTGTTCAGAATTTGATGATGTGGGTCTGTCTGTCCGTCTCAATGTCAGATCTGCTGGCATTTTTTTTTCAATTTTTTTTTTTTTTTTGTATTGAATCATATCGGATTGGGCATCTTGTGAAAAATTAGAATCAGATCTACGTGTCGATTGTGCTTCCTCCATTTACAAACTAGTCCGCAGATCTGGAATTGTTCTTTTAATTCGCGGATCTCTCTCGTTGAATGTTCTCATTTTGTCATCCTCTTTTGATCTTTATTTATGAAACTGTAGCAGCTGAAATGGTGAAGATCTGCTGCATCGGCGCCGGCTACGTCGGTGGTCCGACGATTGGCGGTGATCGCCCTGAAGATGCCCTAAGATCGCAGGTGGTTGGTCGGCTCGACATCGTCGCGTCCGCCCCATCACGGCGCCTGGAACAGCGGACCAGCTCCCGATGCTACGAGCCTGGGCGCTGGAGAGGTCGTCAAGGTAAGTTGCCGCGGCGCGCAACCTTTCTTCAAGCACGCGACGTCGAGAGCACGTTCCGCAGGAGCCGACCTAATCTTCGTCTCGTCAACAGATCACCCGACCAAGACCGCGTGGCCTCGGTGAGGCCGCCGACCTCACCTACTGGGAGTCCGCCGCTCGTATGATAGCCGACGTCTCCAAGTCTGACAAGATCGTCGTCGAGAAATCCACCGTGCCCGTCAAGACCGCGGAGGCCATCGAGAAGATACTGACGCATAACAGCAAGGGGATCAACTACCAGATCCTCTCCAACCCTGAGTTCCTCGCGGAGGGTACTGCGATCCAGGATCTGTTCAATCCCGACAGGGTTCTGATCGGCGGCCGGGAGACGCCGGAGGGGCCAGAAGGCTGTCCCAGGCGCTGAAAGCGGTGTACGCGAACTGGGTCCCGGAGGACCAGATCTGACGACCAACCTGTGGTGCGGCCGAGCTGTCCAAGCTCGCCGCCAATGCCTTTCTGGCGCAGAGGATATCGTCGGTGAACCGATATCGCGCTCTGTGAGGCGACCGCGCCAACGTCGCCGAGGTCGCGCTTACTCCGTCGGGAAGGACAGCAGGATCGGGCCGAAGTTTTGAACGCAGCGTCGCTTTTGGCGGGAGTGCTTCCAGAAGGATATCCTCAACCTCGTGTACATTTGCGAGTGCAACGGCCTGCCGGAGGTCGCGAACTACTGGAAACAGGTGATCAAGATCAACGACTACCAGAAATCCCGGTTCGTGAACCGCGTCGTGTCCTCCATGTTCAACACGGTCTCCGGCAAGAAGATCGCGGTGCTGGGGTTCGCGTTCAAGAAAGACACGGGCGACACCCGTGAGACCCCGGCAATCGACGTTTGCAAGGGTTTGTTGGGTGACAGGGCGCAAGTGAGCATCTACGATCCTCAGGTGACGGAGGAGCAGATACAGAGGGATCTGGCGATGAATAAGTTTGACTGGGACCACCCGATTCATCTCCAGCCTACGAGCCCCACGGCAGTGAAGCAAGTGAGCGTGACGTGGGACGCGTACGAGGCGACCAAAGGAGCCCACGGGGTGTGCATCTTGACTGAATGGGACGAGTTCAAGAAGCTCGACTACAAGAGGATATACGACAACATGCAGAAGCCCGCGTTCATATTTGACGGGCGCAACGTGGTCGACGTGGAGAAGATGAGGGAGATTGGGTTCATCGTTTATTCGATCGGAAAGCCTCTGGATGCTTGGCTCAAGGATATGCCGGCTGTCGCCTGAGAGGAAGAGAGAGAGAGAGGTCTGAAATTGGTGGAGAATTCTTTGTGATTGCTGTTTCTTTAGAGAAATCTGGTGCTTCTACTTGTTTTGATGGATAATTGTTGTTTTTTTTAGGGGGTCATAGCTATAGCTAGGGTCCTCTGTTTATGTTTTCATGTTTGTGTCCGTAGTCCCGTATACTTTGTATTCGCTGCTATCATCGGTTGCGTTTTGGGAATATGAGAATTGAGATTTTATCAGTGATGTGTTTTTCGTTCTTCTAATCTCACGTCGGTTTGCTTCCTTCATTTTTTTCATCTTCTTTCTCAATTTGTGTTATTTTTCTACATGAAACTACTGTTAAATATCTTGGAAGAACAGATCTTTGTTGGCTTTTGGGATACAATACAATGTTAAATGACACGGTTATGCACCGTGTCCTTGCGATGAGCTGCTGGAGCTTCTGCTCTATTGTGTGATTCTGTCGGTCCGTTTGCACTGTTTGCGACTCTTGATGGAGCAAACAGAGATTGTTATTGCGGTTTGTTGTATACGGGCATAACTGGTGTGTTGTTCACGTGACGCACACATCTAGATCGTTACTTGTCCAAAATCATCAGCTTACAGACCACCGTCCGATTCATTATAGCATATAGACCACCACAGTTGATGACTTGAACATGTCATCGTAAGTAACACGCCAATCAAGGTCACGGAGAGACGCAAAATATTGTGGGATTTTTTTTGTTATTGGATGGTCGGTATAAGAGCTTAATCATCTAATAATATGCGAAGAATAAACCAATGTTTGTTGATGTGGATGAATCGCACAGCTGTATAGATCAACTGAACGGGAAACTGTGATTGTATTCATACATTTCGTTTGAGGAAGCCGTGAAGCTAGTTAAGAACGATTTGGTTACAGAAAAAGTGAGTTAACCAATGCTTTTTTTTTTTACTTCTATTATTTTGTTGGTCAAGGTAATATCGTTAAGAAGTAAACCATATTATGTCTACGTATCCTCTCCAACTATGTGGTAATTGGAAAGAATCCAATTCTTTCAATTCTAATCTTTCATTTGCTTGTTTGTTTGTATGGAAGTAATTATAGAATAGCGGAAAATAAATAAAATAGAGGCTACTTCTTCTACTTCCTATAAAAAAAAAGAACATTTTTGTTTCTCTAAAAAGTGTTTGGCAACCATGGCGTTTTTATCGTTTCTGTTTTTTTTCAACAAAAACAAAGAAACGCGTTTGGCAACCGGGGCGTTTTTTTGACTTGTCCATTTACAAAATTTAAAAATTAAACACTTTTCTCAAAACACTAAAAATGTGTTTTAAGATTCTGTTTTTTCATCTAAGCTGTCGCAGCCCTGTCGTTCGCGCTCGCTCGCCGCCTCCGTCGCTCGCCCGGCCGCCTCCGGTCCGCCGGTCACCCGTTGGCCACGCCGCCCGTCGTCCGGTCACCCGCCGTCGCCACTACCGCCACCGCGCTGCTCCCCGGCTCGCCGCGCCCGCCAGCCACCCTTCACCCGCCGCACCACCGCCACCGCCGCCGCCCACGGCTACCAGTCGGCCCACCGTCGGCCGGCCATCGGCCACGCGTCGCCACCACCACCACCAGCCGGCCTGCCCCACCGCCGCCCGCCCGCCCTGTTGCCTCTGTTGCCCGCCGGCCACTCGTCACCCCCACGGCCGGCCGCGATCACCCTCCACCGTTGTCGCCACCACAGCCACCGTTGCCCGCCCGTCGGCCCCGTCGGCCGACCTTTGGCCACCCGCCCCGCCACCACTCGTCGCCCACACTCGTCAACCACCAGCCGGCCCGCCGCCACCTGCCCGTCGACGGCCGCCGGCCACTCGCCGCTACCCGTCGCCACCGCTGCCCGCCCACTGCTTTCTAGTATAGGTTTGACCAAAATGGTGTTTTCAAAACACATTTGAAAAAAAACATCATAGCATAGTGTTTTTACAAAAACACAACAAAAAAGCACATTGATTACCAAACACACCCGATCTACTTTCAATACCTCATTAAATGCTAGTGTAGTGTCTACATGTCATATCTACTTTCTAAATACTCTTCCGCTCGTCAAGCCTCGAAAGTAGCCCAAAATTAGGCGAAATTTATATTAATTAGGAAATAATATTATTAGGAAATAAATAATTTATCTTATTAATATTTACTTTATTAGTTTCTTCCTGATAACTTTTCATTATTATCCAAACGAAAAAAAGGGAATGAAGAATAAAAAGTACAATTTCCATTACATCAAAAAATATGTGAAAAAGGATTACTTCCACTACTTGTTACTTTATAAATTTACATGTTACTTCTTTGATCTATTTCGTACACCTAGTACTTCTATCAAACCAAACAGGCCCAGGGATGAGATTAGACTATGTAAGATTTTCCATTCTTACAAGAGCGGATTTAAAAGTAGTGGTTTTCATGGGAATAGCGATAAAACCATTATTTTTAAAACAACTTTAGCAATAATGAAAATTCTACATGGCTTGATCACATCCTTCTAAATTAGAATGGACGATCATGATTAAAAAATTGGATCCTCTCTAATTATCTAATTATCATAGAGAGAATTCAAATCCAAACTTTTTATATGCCAAACAGAAATATGTATTTAAAAGTCTACTTTCCACTGTCTATTTGAAAGAATCCAAACAATACATATAGAGAAGGGTTATCTGCGAATAGACCCCTACAGTATCGACCAATTGTGCCCAATTGCAGGGTTAATTGTGAATAGAAACCCTATGATATTGTCCAATTGCGAATAGACTCCCTATAGTTTATTTGTTGCGAACAGACCCCCTGTAGTATGAGCCATATTGTGAATATATACGCCTACTTAGTGAATTTTTCGTCTCGTCTAAAATTAAAAAATAAAAAAGTTAGCAATTGAGAGTCTATCCTAACCAATAGGACAATAGCAGATTTATCCGCCTCCTCAAACCTTTTAAATAATTTTTAGAGCTAAATAGGAAATTCACTTAGGGGATCTATTCGTGAAAATAGAACTCTAGAGAGCCTACTCGTAATTGGGTGATACTAGTTAACCTAATAAAGAAAGTAGATGCCACCTCCCCTAACACATCAACCTTTCATTTTTCTACTTTCCCGTTGCCAAACAAGATTTGCCAATAGAAATGAAGAGAACATACTTTCTTGAAAAAGTATTTTCTCTTTAATTTTTACGTTTTATTTGCTTTCCATTGCCAAAACACGCTTAATGATGTCAGGAGGGTCCGTGAGGAAATTTGAAAGTTCAGGGGGAAATTGGTGACATATCCCAAATTTCAAGGGCTTGCCGGCTTGGTGGGGGGAAAAAATGCTTCAGGGGGTTTCTTCTAAACCCCTAAAAGTTTAAGGGGGGTTTTATCCAATTTCCCTCAAGTAAAAAACCCCTCTTCCACCTTTGCTTTCCTCATGCATGGACTTCGCCTCCTCCTGTACCTAGAGTGCGATTTCGTATGAGAAAGAAAAGGTGATCGAAACGAGAACCCATCTCCTCTCTCTCTATCTAAACCCTGTTCCTCTAAAAAAGATTCGAATATTTTCCCCACTCTCCCCAGATTCATGCAGAGATTGGAAAGCTCAATGCTGAGCTAGTAATAACCATATCCTTTTCCCTTCTCTAAAACGAAGAAAAGAAAAAATCCCATCGAAATCCCCAACTGGGTCCTTCACAAATCACTCCCAAACCCAACAAACCCCGAGATTTCATCGATTCAAGCTGACCCTTTTGAGATCTCTTTCACCCTCTTCATGGATCAAGATCGCTCCCTCGGCCGTCACGTGCGCAGTCCCGTGCCGCCGCCGGACCCCGGTGGCTATAGGCTGAGAGAAAAACCAAAGAGAACGACGGGCTTCGACGATATCGGAGAGAACCAATGTGGTGAATGCGGCAGAGAATTCAAATCCCGCAGGGCTCTGTTTGGCCACATGAGCTCCCATTCTCAGAGAGCTCAGAGAGCCAAGGAAGAAGATGATGCAAGATCACTGAGCAAGAAGCAGAAGAGGGTGTCGCCCGAGTACCCGAAGGAGCAAGTTGACGGCGCCCTTGCTCTCATGATGCTCTCCAGGGATCAAGGCAATTGGGGAAATGGGGTTCCTGGGGTTTCTGATTATGATGATAACTCCCTGAAGAAGAAGAAGAAGAAGAAGAAGAAGAAGAAGAAGAATGGATCCAATGGCTTAGGAGCTGATGCTGCGATAAATAAAGCAGGAGGATTCCAATGTCGGGTTTGTTGCAAAGTGTTTGGCTCTGGTCAGGCTTTAGGTGGACACTGGAGGGCTCATTCGTCAAGGGCTACTCTTAGAAGTGTTGACGGCGATGATGCTTATTTTGGTGCGCAATGACCACCAATATCATCGCAAATTGAGGGTGCATAGATTCTTGCTCTTTGATGTAGCTCATTATTCCGGGTGCTCAAAGGCGAGGTAACGATGGAATCTGATATAATTCTCATCCAAGCTTCTCTGCTTTCTTTTTGTTAGGGGTATAGAATTTGTTCTTATTGAGGCTTATCGAAGTTGTCTGGTGAGTTTAGAAATACATCTTGGAGTTTTGGTGTTGAGTTAGACACAAATGCAAATTGGACTGAAGAAGATTGGTTATTGTAGCTTCTAATTTCCATCCTCTTCATTGAATTGTTTATAGGTTCAATCACTTTCTCCTGAAAGATTACATGTTATATAAAAATATGTAAAAGTTTGTGCTTAATTATTGCATATCTCATACTGCCCTTATACTAGTGTTTCTAAATTCTGAGTACAAAGCCAGTACTTCAGTCCAATTGGAGCAAAAATGTCTGCTAGGTAGGCCTAAAACAATGAGTGTATTGTCACTAACAGCATGATATGAACATTAATTGACTGTGAAAGTAGTCCTTTGGTCCGTGTTCAATCCTTAGTCAACCCTTGGTACCTATATTGGATCAAACCAAAGTAAATTAAGATCTTGAATAACTGTGTTCAGATATGATCTTGTCCTGGTGTGGTATGATAAGCTTTGTTACATATATTTTCATGTCTATGCTATTAATGGTAAAATGATACGCATCTTATGAGTCTTATGACAAGATCAGAGTCAGATTTCTGTACTTTATGTTGCCAGATATGCATGTAAATGTTGCTGCACATGTATATTGTGTGAATGCCACCATAGGCACCAGTGTAGACTTCATAGAGTAGAGAGCACCCTAGTTAATGAGGCAGCTTGCTTGAACATGAAGTGAACCATGTGCGATTGACACATCCAACAACATTTGTAGACTGTAATAGCTAGAGACATTCAAACTGGGTAAATTATAAGAAGCTCTCTCACCAGAAACAGTTCAGAAAAACTCATCATCCGTTACCGTTAGGGCCTGTTTAATTAGGCCTTGACAGCCCAAAAATTGGAAATGCCCACTTGACACTCGTAGAAATTGATCAGACTTTTTAAAAACTATCCCTATTTATTTGTTTGGGTGGGCTGGGAAAGAATTATTCATCTTTCCTTCTTTGTCACTTTTCGGCACGATTTGGGGACCCAAATCTGAGCTATTAGGTAGGAATTGGGAGGAAATATATTATTTTAGGGTTAAAAAGTAAGGGGGGAGAGGTGATGAAAGCAAATCACTTACTTTGGTTTCCTTTTTTTTTTTTTTTGGTTATCAACCAAACAGTGGAATTAGCACATTGTATTTTCTGTGCAAGTTTTCTGAGTGAAGCAAACAAAAAACAACAATTTCCAAAAAATACACAGAAACACATGGAAAGTCAGTTCTGGGCCTAAAATTGATTTCCTACTATTTATAGAATGTAACCAAACAGGCCCTTAATGCATATGTTACTTTTGTAACAAAGTTTTGTTGTTCATATGTGTAGGAAGACATTCACCGTCGAGAAACATCCACTTCAGAAACCAGAGATTTTAAACGCTGAAAGGAACAAAATACAGAAGAGCATTTTTTTTTGATAAAATAAACTTCAAGTTTTATCACTAATGTATAATCCTATACGCAAACATCCATCCATACATCTGAAGAGCCAAACTCTGTTATAAAACCAACTCACTAATGAGTAATGATTTAAGGTTTTTGTTGAACTTTTTAGATGAAGGGTTTTCTTCGAAGGGGCATCTTGTAATTTACCCTTTGAAGTATCTGTCGCATTGTGGTTTCATTTGCAAAATCCTGGTAGAGTTGGTTAAGGAAGCTAAAGAGTGCTTTTGATTGAGAAAATGTATTATATGCTGCAAATCTGTAGTGGAGGATATCTGAATCCTGAGGTTTCAGGCTCAAACAAGGAGGACCTAGTAAATTCTGATATGTTTCAGATTGATCAATTGTATAAGACTATTAGATGGTGCCAAACTCACTACAGATTGATCAATAAACAATAATAAATATATCATTTATAAATAATAGATGGTGCCAAATTCTGATATGTTCCAATATTCATGTTATATACTCAGTTATAAATAATAATAAATATTAAATATTAAATCACTTATAAAATAATTTAAGATAAATATGATGTCTAGTTCTGCTACATAATAATATATTAAATTAAAAAAATGGAGGAGTTAGAAGAAGAATTCATTTAGAAAACTGGCACACTCAAATTGCACGTGAAAAAAATAGAAAATGTTAACCTTCAAAATACGTGTGCAGTGAGATGTAGTAATTAGGTTTTGACATTTTTTTTGTATTTGAATTCACAATTTTCCTTGTGATAGTTTTTGGAGGACTTTATTGATCTTACAAAATAATTCGGACTCGCCGTTAAATCTAAACACAAATCCTTATTTAATTTTAAAGTTGATAATGTAGTTTTTATGTCATTGAAACATAAATTATTATATGTTATTATATAAACCACTCTCAATATTTGTTCTCTCAATCCATTACCATGTTTCAGATAAATACTTAAAGTCATTACTAAGACTGTTTTAAAAAAAAAATCATTTTGTTAGCTAGAGAGATGGTGGTGGACTGTTGAAGTGACATTTTAAAATCTGAGAGATGACTATTAAATTCCTCTTCAATGTTTGAACGCCATGTCCCCTTCAATTTCTGCATTACTGTCACTATGTTATTAAGGTAGTAGTATAGACAATAGTGTAGATGTGCTAGCCTTCTACTAGAAGTTTTGCTAAACTTTTCATTGGAAAAAAAAGGGGAAGAAATTTATATAGACAAGACACAACAATAACTGGGATAGAATAATTTCATGTTTGATTCCAAGAACTAATACATAACCGTTACAGGGGTCCAACTGAATTTCAGGAAGTACACATATAAGGGATCCTATTATCTCGGGATAATCATAATTTATCTTGTAATTTATCTCGTAATATCTCTGATTTGAGATGAATTAATTGATGTGCAGTTCAGATAAAACCGTCATCAATACGATGAGGAGGTCTTGTACTTGTTTCAAAATTGAGATACAGGAATTGACCTTCAGTACGGAATCATATGAAGTTGATCACTATTTAATTATCTTGATTTCAGTATTAAAACCTAAGAGGGGTTTTGAAGATTTGAAGAGAGTCACTTGTGATAGGCTAGCTATTTTGAGGAGAAACATGGATCAATGTCAGATTTGTGGCAGAGTGTTTGGGTCTGCAGGTCAGGCATTGGGTGGACATAAGTGGGCTCATTCGGCAATGGTTACTACTCCTAGAATTACTGAGGAAAATTAATCACTTTGCCAACAGTACTCTGATTCTTGAAGGCAATGGAGAGCTGGGTGTTGCTGTGGGTGGGAGCTAAACAGGAGACTAAGGTGTGAAGCTGGAATATTACAAAATGACTACAGTTTTTGTATATTTTGCGTTTTTGTTTTCGGTTTTAATTAAAAACCATGTGGCTATGTACATGGGTTGTGATGATACTCTGCTTATCTGTTTTTTCTTTTCTTTTTTTGTTATAAACTTAACATCATCACTGTATAGTTGCGGGTGATGATGTATAGTTACCAACCAGTTTTTGGGTAGTAACGGTAGCTGGGGGCTCTGTTTGAGCCCTCATCTTTTTTCTAAAAAAAATGGCTACACTCCTAGAATTGTTGATGATGATGATACTGATTTTGGTGGGCAATGACCGATGTGATCGTGTCGGGAGTTGTGTAGATTCTTCTTCTTTGATTTGATTCATTTTTTGAGAAGCTCGAAGGCGAGGTAGTGGCCAGATCTCTTTTGGCAATGGCTAGTCCTGGTATTGTTGATGGTGATGCCGAGTAGATATCTTGATGGGCTACGGCTGACACGAAAACACATTGAGGGCTTAGAGATTCTTCTTCTTTGATTTGATTCATGCTTTCAGTAGCTCAGAAATACTTAGGAGTTTTTGTTATTCACACAAAATGCTAATTAGACTGGAGAAGGGCGCAGTATATATTAGCTTCTAATTTCCATCCTCTTCGATCGTCGTTTAGTTATGTATATATTTAATCACTTTTTCTTCATACTAAAGTTTCTGAATTCTGAGTAAAAATTTCAGCATATAAGGTGTGAACACAAATAGTTGGTGAGAGATCACTATTCACGGTATTTATGTCGCAGAGCGTTAGATGGGTCTAATACCATCTAATCCCGAATTAGCGCAAAATATGCGAGATATTGAGAATGTATATATAGTGAAATAAGCATTCTTCTCCTCTTGGACCATTGCATTGCTTTGCTTGGTGATTTGCTCTTATATATTATTACTAATTTTTTTTTTTTAGGATTAGAATGATTGGGCAGTGAATCAGCAAAATAAGAAGCATGACAGCAGAGGTTAGTGGAGTTTTGGCCATGTCTTTAGATGGCATGTGTATTATTTGCATGCATGATACACACGGCGCAATGGTTAGAAAATGGAGAACATACATATGATTATTGAAATATTATATGCAACGTAATGAATTCGTGCTCACTATATTAGGTATCAATGTACTATGTTAAGTTTATGATCTGCAATGCTATGTTGTTTTCTATTTACTCCATTTAAGAGCTTGAAATAAAATCACATTTACTAGTTTAAAAAATAGATTTAACTAGTAAATAAATGTACTCATTTTAAATGGTAAAACAGTGAGTTTAGCCAATTTACAACCAGTACATGACTCAATACTAGAACTAGATGATACAGAACCAAGTACTCCAGACTGAATAAGACTCTCCAGCCTTTTATTAGACTAATGACCAAGTCGTCTATGCCACAAATTGACAGGAAGCGATGTAGAGGGTTTTGACGAGCAAACAGAAGCAACAAGAGAACGTGGACGTATGGACTCTGGAAGGTGAATATATTCCAGAAAATACAACTTGTGCCTCCTAAGACCCGGCCCAACCGTCTTGCTCGTCTGTGGATCATGCACAAGACAAAGTATTAAAAGAAAATGAGACAAGCATGTCAGCCATACACAAAGAGCTAATAGAAATTAAATTCAAGCACAACTAAGGAGCCACATAGACGGGACCAAGTGTTAGACGACCAAATGGATCATTTTGTGGGGTAATAGAGTCATACTGAGTGATAGACAATGGTTGTCTAGTAACTGTGTAGATAGGGGCAAGAGAAGACGAAGTGAAGACAAAGGATGAAAGTGAAACATTACAAGTCATATGAAAGGAACAACCAGAGTCAAAAATCCAGAGATCATTCATACCAAAGACCGAAGGGTTAGCTGAAGAACCAACAAAATACATACCAGAGAGTTGTGCAGCGAATGTAGAGGTGATATGCTGAAAAACATCAAGTTGACGGCGAAGACCTTCAATAGCTTGAATAGTAGAGTCTGAAGTGGTAGAAGGTATAACATTGGCCAGCAATCCTGGTGTACGAGAGGGTTGAGACTGAGGGGTCAGCGACCACGATCAGTACCTGAGGAACGTAACTCAGGATGAAGCTTGAAGCATGTCTCAATCCGGCGTCCTTCCTTCTTGCAATATTTATAAGAGAGCTTAGATCGAGCCTGTGGAGAGGGAGCCTGTTGAGAAGTATAATTCATAACAGGAGCAGTGACAGGTACAGACATAGCAGTCTCGAGTGAAGAGGTAGGAGTGTCTACTGACAAATTGAGTTGTGTTGTCTGCTGCTGGTCTCATAAGTAGTGAGAGCTCCCATAACTAAGGCCAAAGTCGGAAATTGAGGCTGATGAAGTAGTTGAGCAGTCATAGTTGAATATTCAGAAAGGGACTGAAATAGTTGATACACCTCATGCTGCTCGTACCAAGCTAGCCAGTCTTCATATGTGGAATCACGTCTAGAAAGCATAGGGCGTAATTTTGTCCAAAGAGCTTTCATTTGTCCAAAATGAGACTGCAAAAAGGAATTACCTTTGCGTTGTTGAGCAACGCGTTGCAGAAGATGTGCCTTCTGTGCAACAGAACACTCAGTTAAACGCTCAGTGAGGCGAGTCCACATGGCCCAAGCAGAGGGAAACGAACCAATTTTGATAGTGAGACCAGAGCCAACACAACGAGTGAGATAATCCATGACACGAAATTCCTGCAACTGTCAATCCGAACTCTCCTTGACATAGAGAGCACGAGCAGTCTGAAGATTGACATCACCACTGCCAGATGTAACAGTACTGGATGAAGCAATAGTGCTGATTGACGGTCGAACTGGTCTCATACTAGTGAGATGATCAAGCAGATCAGCGCCACGCAAGACATTGGTGATAATGGTGGATCATCCTGCCCAGTCACTTTGATCATTGAGGAGGAGAGGTGGTTTAGGAATCTTCTCTGAAGGAGCCATAACAGCAAATCGAAGTTCAAGATTATTTTGAACAAAAAAACCGGAAAGATAGAATGGAACCCGAAGGTTTAAAAATAGAATATATAGTATATAGTAGTAATATATATAGTAATATATATAATAAGTATATAAACTCAACAAAATCATCCAATTAAATCGCTCTTCATTGCAAAGATCGTGTCGAAAATCGCGTCACACATTTGGTAACAGAGATCACGACGGTCAATCAGATCTCGGCGGCGGAGATTGCGAGATGAGCAGATTATCCACCGAGATCTACGAACAAGTTGGGCGGCAGCAGTGGTAACCTCGTCGATCACTGACAGCGACAAAGATCTCTGCGGCTACTGAGATCGGTGACTCGGAGAGAAATTTTTATTTATTTGGAAAAGAGGAAGTCCACAACAGCAGTATAGGGTAGAAAGCTGTAATGCCCAGCTTATAATAACCGAAATAATAATAATACTAATACAACATTGTTTCAAAAGGGTGGATCATAAATGTGATGACCGAAGTTGAGGTCTCATATGCAGTAGGCAACAAAATGCACCATAGAAGCCGGGTACAATCATTGGGGGATGAAACCTCCAAATGAATACAGCATATCATTACATGCTTCAGTATATTTCGAAAAGGTACTCAAAGTAACTTCAGTAAAAGTATAAGCTTCAAAAAGTACTCATAAGCCTCAAATGCCTCTAAGATTGATTAAGCCATTTTCGCTTTGCAGGTGGCTGCCAACCAAAATTGGATGATTCGTGCAATCAGAATTACTAATATATACAACACAAAACACAAAAATAAAAATAAAATAAAATGAAACCAAAATTTGCATTCTTGAAGAACTTACCGTAGACATCTTGATTAAGAAAATCGACCCCCTGTAACATAGATGTGAAAGAGACTTTTGACCCATCGAAATTTCGATCCGTAACGGTGGGCTAAAATAATATAGAAAATAATTAGCAACTATAGATCATGTAAAACTATAATTTATATGCTACTAACTGGTACCTGTGAGGCTATTTGTGGTGTAAGGTTGTGCATCGGTTGGGACAAATATGGACTGTAAACATTGTTTGGATATACCTATGCATTAAAATCTCATTAATTAATAATAAAAATAGCTCATATTCTACGTAAAAAAACAAATAAACAATAACATTTTTATGAATTACATATAATTACCCGTGACATATTAGTCTGATACTGAACTTGGTTTAGGAGCCTAATAAGGCAAGAAGTTTGTTGCATGCATTCCCATGGAAGATTGTGCATTTGTTGGATCAGAAGGTATAATTGCTTCAAGTTTCTTCTTTGATTCTATAATTACAAAACGTCGAAGAAAAAAAATCAATAATATGAGAAATGCCAATGAAGTAAATAAATGACAGTATTTGTCCTTACTTGAACTTGGCTTTCCTACATCATGTTTAGATGATTTTTTCCTCTTCTTTTCAAAATGTCCTTTAAGCCTAGCATTAATTAGAGACACCCTTTGAGGAGGATCAAGCACATGCTTTCTTCATTATTATTCAAATTGATACCTTTTTCCACTTTTGAATAATTCCCTAAATAATCCTTCTCATGGAACTTATGAAGTTTCTCGTGTCCTCCGTCAAAAATTTTCCATAAAAGTTTTCTTGCCTCCTCTTTTCTCTGTCTCGTTGAGAAGATCATAAGCATAGCGCATTGAACAATTACAAAACACAGTCTCAACTTCGTTGGAATCCATTGACTCATATGCATGTACCCTTTTTCTTGCATCTTTAGTCCATCGTTTTGACGAGTACTGTGTTGGCTGTGTAATAGGATCGGCCTGCAGTATCAAACCTGTAAATAGAGATAGGCTGATTTCTGGGAAAACTGACAGCAGCAAAGAACGAAGGACAGGGGACAATCTCCTGGGCGTTTTCTTCTTTCTGGCTCTGTTTTGGTGGATTAACAGAGGCCGGAATAATGACCTCCTGTTTTGCTGACGAACACAAAAATAGATGGAGCAGGAACTTTTTGAAGTTTCATTAACGTTCTCAAAATTACAAAGACTTGTTTACATATTTATAACCAATAACTAGGAAACCTATCCTAACTAGTATTCTACTATAATTAGAACTCTATCTAATAACATGGATTCAAAACTAACAATTCTATTCTAACTAGGACTGATTAACAACTCACATTCTCCCCCTTAATCTGGACTAGA